CAGGGCTCCCAAGATGCCCCTAAGGGAGCCCCGAGAGGGCCCAAAGACCCCCCAAAAAGCCCACAGAGAGCCCCAAGATCCCCCAAAAGAGTCCCAAGAGGGCTCCAAGAGGAGATGTTGATGGCTCTTGCCTCGTCCTCGTTGTCCTCCTCCTCCTCCTCATCCTCCTCGACCTCGTCCTCGTCCTTGCCCTCATCGTCTGCCTTTTCCTGCTCCTCGTCCTCGTCGTCGTCCTCCTCCTCCTCCTCGCCCTCCTCCTCTTCCTCCTGCTCCTTCCGTCGCCCCCGCATGGGCCCCAGGGATGACCCGAAGAGGCCCTCCAAGGCCATCCCATTGCTCCAAAGATCTCTCTTTTCACCATGGTTGCCCGCTTTGTTTCACTGTATGCGTCTCTTGGTCCCTTTTCCCGTCAACTCTCATGGGCAGGGCTTCTGAATGGGCTGGTGGGGATACGCGAAGTGTGAAGAAATCCGCAACTTATGCGAAAAGGTCACCAACTGAATCAACAAGATAACAAATCCCATGCACATTGGAATACAAACCTAGACGCTTCTGAGATCACATGGTCTCCCTACATAATCTCAGATACCATACCATGTAAAGTCCGGGGGCTGGCACAACATAGCCGACACGGTTCACACAAGCCATTTTTGTCGCCGTGTCCCAGACCTCCTTGAGTCACCTCCAAGGCTCCCCCCCACCTCCTGTCTCCCTTCCTTTCCGCATCATGCTGAATTTCCTCCTGCGCCACGCTCTGCAAGTGTCACCCGATACCATTTTCCTTCGGGGGCCTGTGGAATGGCGTGAGTTCCTTGAGTAAGAGGCTAAGCATAAGGCGGGGGAGTGAGGATGAGGAGGGGGAGGTGGAAGAGGAGGCGGAGGAGTAGGAAGGGGGAGGAAGGGATAAGGAGGAGCACCAGGATGAAGGATGGAAGCGCGGCGCGTGGAGCCAGGGAAGCACACTTAGCATGCCACATTCCAAACACTACGAAACAGCCATGCATTGAATCTGCCGCAAGAGGGCTACCTTGCGCCAGTAGTAGACACGAGATACCTCGCAGGCGCAGCCCAGAGCGCCCGATGGGAGTCTGGCGCTCTGGCGATAGTGTATCAGATCAGAGGGCTGCTCATTAACACATCAAGAGATACAGTTCAACAAGCTCGATCCGACTGTAACTTGGGTCTGCTCGGCATCTGGGGCCATGCCTTCGGGAAGCAAAGGTGTTGAGGGGGTCCAACGATGATCCCGACTGCGCACGTTCGTGTCAGAACGAAATCTGTTCTGCTCTCGTTGTCCCCAAACTCGCCGGCCAACGGGCCACGGGCGCGCTAGACCGGACGAGGGAGGAGCAAGAAAGAGGGGGAGAGTGGAAAGGCGGGTCAGGGAGGAGGTAAGCGGAGGGAGGAACAGGAGAAGGAATGGAGGATCAGGGAAGAAGTGATGATCCTGATGACGAGGAGGCATTGCGAAGGAATGAAGGAAGGGGGATGATGATGAGTGGCGCAAAGAGAGGACTACTGCCAACCCTCTGAGAATACCTGCCTTCCCCTTCAGGCAGGGTTTACCGCTGCTCCGGTTCAATCCCCTGTGTCTGGACCGGGATTAGAGCGTCTAAGGTAGCACGATACTGCTCCACTCCACCACGGCGCCAGATAGCCCAATATGGCACCCAAATTGGCATAATGTCGCCCAGGATGGCCTCCAACATGCCCATGAGGAGGCACCAAGACGGCCTCAAGAGGTCTCGGGACCCGAGGACGCCCGCGAGAAATCAACCAAACATACGGGGCGCTTCAACAATGTTTACGTTCGCCTTTTTTCGCTTCCGATGGGCGTACGGGTCCTCGCGATAAATCCAAAATCACCCAGAAGGGGCTCAGAAGGGCTCGAAGACGGTGTCAAAGGCCCCGAACATCACCCGAGGAGCGTGTTCTGGGGGGGGGGGCGCTCCAAGAAGGTCCCCACCGCACCACAGACGACCCCCAAGGGGACCTCGAATACCAATCGAAGGGCCCCACGAGAGCTTCCAAGGGGATCCTGGATATCCTAAACTTGCAACTGTTGGTCTTTCTGTTTCACGATGCGCTCTCTGCTTCCATGCTCCCGACAACTCACCAGGGCATGGTTTCTGGAGGTGCGGGTGATGGGGATAAGCCGTCAAGAGCATGGAGAGGAGGGGGGGGCATGCGGAGAAATGGACAAGGAAGAGGGGGGATGAGAAGGAATAGGGGGACGGAGGATGAGGAGGAGGTGGGGAGATACTGGAAAGGAGGATGAGGAAAAGACACAAAACAACATAATAATAATAAAGAAGAAAACTAAGGACACGGAAGGAGGAGGGAGCAGGAGAGGATATGGGACACGGGGAAAGAAGGTCCGTAGCCATTTTTGGCTAAACCAGCAGGCCCCGTCCTGCGCTGGCAATCGGCAGGTCGATATCGACAGCTTTCTTTGTTTCCACTTCTGTTCACTTCTGTCGGATGTCTTCGGAGCAGCGGGATCCGCACCTATAGGTCGCGAAGCTGCATCGGACCGCCATGCTCAAGATGGCACAGGCAGCTGGTCGCCCGTTCCAGGGGCTCTCTGCAGCGGCGGTGGCGATGAAGATGGACTCGTCCTGGAAGAGGCGGCCGAAGAACTGGGATGCCACCCTGGGGCTGGTGGAGAAGATCAGCGAAGAGGGCGTGTCGGCGCACCTCGCTCGCCTGGACGCGGAGCTTGCACGAGACCCGTCCCACGTGCAGCACCGGCAGCGGGGCAAGCAAGGGCGGAGGCAGTGGGCATCAGCCCTCAGCCGCCCCAGTGAGATGTACAGCGACGACCAGAACGAAGCAGAGGGCTCGTGTGGGGCAGCGGCAAGCTCGTGCACTGAGGCGTCCAACGCAGAGCAGCCCAGCCACGAGCCATACATGGCCATCGAAGTCATCCAAGAGTGCCTGTCCGACGTCAGAGACTTGTGGATGGACATCACATCCACTTTGAGAGTGTGCCTCGGCCAAGTATGACATCGAAAGGACGCCAGCGCACGCTGGAAGCTTCATTCGAACGTGTGCCTGCACGCCGCGATCAGGAGCAGCGCGAGAAGCAAGACGAGCTCAAGAAGGGGCGATCCCGCCTTCGACGCATACGGGTTGCCGTGGCGGCCGAGCAGAGGAGCCGACGCCAACGCTTTCTTGAGCAGTAGGGCGTAGGCCCACTCTCTCCACCGTCCTCCCCTCTATCGGTCATCTACCCTCTTCGCCCTCCCCCAATTCGCCCCTTCCCCAGGCCAGATCCGAGGCTTCGGCATTGTATCGCTTACCTGTGGCCTAATTCTAGGGATCGGGAGGCGGGGTGTTTGATGGAGGAGGGATGAACCACTTGCCAATCCAGTTCGAGGAGCGTTTCAGTTCAGTGTAATCTGGAGGCTGGTAGCAGTGCCAGTAGTGCCAGCCTGCAGCTCCAGCTCTGGGACTCTGTGCCTGCACGGGGATAGAGAGAGGGCAGCGAGTTCGTCTGTTGTCCCATTTCGCAAATGTCGGTGCAATCATCCTCACCTTGCCCCTCCTTATACCTTACCTTGGTCCTCCCCAACCCTTCCTCGCCACTCCCGCAAGCAGCCATGAAATGGCCATGTGTGTTTTCAAGTTCATTTGGTGCTAAAGGGCCGGAGTGGGCATTCAGGTGGGGGGTGAGAATTGTAAGCGGGGTGGGTGGGAACTTCCTTTCCTAACGCTGTGGTTCTTGGAGGCGCACTCCAGGCGCTGTACGAGCGCCTTAAGCTGTGCGAGCCTGCCCTGAACCGCTCTCCATAGTAGGGCCCATAGCGAGTTGGCCTGGCCCTCTCCGCTACCCCGTCCCTCGGCAGAGTCCTTCGGCAGAGCGGGCCTTTTGGACAGGGAGGTGAAGCGGAGGGTTTCGAGTCTTCTGTGTGTGTGTGTGGGATGTTGTTGTTGGTGTTGCGTGTTTTGGCGGAGGAGAAGGAGGACCCTTCCCACCCCTCGCCGCCCCCGCCCCAACAACCACACCACCACTGATGCAGAAGCGAAGATCTTGCATCGCTTTAAGGGTGCCCAACTGGTGATGTTATGGGCACCCCCTCCCTTCCCCTCCAACGGCAATGGTGAACCAAAAGCCGCAACTGGAGCCGGGTTGGGCCATTATTTCTCTGTCCTGTCCTTCGTTTTTTATTCTCTCTCTCTCTCTCCATCTTTCCCCCGTGCACCTGGAGCGCGTGCGGTTTATGTGTGCCGTGCGGCACATCTATGCGTCGGCCTGTTCGGTGACTCGGGTTCGCTGTGGGTGCGTGTGTGGGAGAGAAAGGAGGAGGGGGAAGGAAGGATGATAGGGGGCAAAGGAGGAGGAAGGGAAGAAGGAGGGGAAAAACGGAACGAGGGAGAGATGGGAAATATTCGGGGATGAAGAGAGCGCCCTTTAGTAAAACGTGGTTTAGTGAAACCGACCTCGGGCCCAAACCTGGCGGGCGCAATGATGGAAAAAGACGGCCGCGGTGCCCTCTCGAGAACCGAAAACTGACAATTCACTGATCGACGTATCAGGGTGGGGGTTCTGTCCACCCACGAGAAATAGGAGGGGGGGCGAGGAAGGAAGGAGGCAGGAGGAAAGGAGCGAGAAGAAGCGACAAAGGAGGATGACGTCGTCGTCAGACGTCGGGTTGGGCGTTGCGCCGCGCTCGGGATGAAATGCCTGCGGGCGAGCGCACAAGTCCCTGGCAAACGGAACGAGAAAGGGAAGCGCAGCAGCGGCATCGCATCACAACCTCCCCCTCCCCCTCCCCCTCCTCCTCCTCCTCCTCCTCCTCCTCCTCCTCCTCCTCCTCCTCCTCCTCCTCCTCCTCCCCCTCCTCCTCCTCCTCCTCCTCCTCCTCCTTTTCCTCCTCCTCCTCCTTTTCCTCCTCCTTTTCCTCCTCCTTCCTCCTCCCTCCTCCTCCTCTCCCCCTCCCCCTCCTCCTCCTCCTCCTCCTCCTCCTCCTCCTCCTCCTCCTCCTCCTCCTCCTTTGCGTGTACAGCACCTGCGACGAGCAGAGCGTGCGACAGAAGAAGGACCTGCGGCTTGCCGTGGGCCTCGCACGGCGAGGGAGGCGCGAAGGCCCCGACAGGGCTTTGCGGCAACCCGAGCCGCGGGGAGCGGCGCGGACCGGTGGCGAGGGGGTGAGGAGGCAGCTACGGGGAGGTCTTCGTCGGACAGACGAAGGAGAATTGAGCCCCACTGGGGGGCTACTACGCAGGACAAGGCCGTGGATGAACCGGAATTGAGCGGGACTGAGTAAGATTAGGCCGGAATACGCGGGATCAAGCCGGATTAAGCCAGATTTCTGAACCAGGGGAAAGTCAGAATTTGACCTCCCAGGAGTTGCATCCGAGAGAGGGGGGGCCACACGCTCTATCTAGACACGTTTCCTGGCAGCAGCTGACTAATTACCTACCAGACCACCCCAACCCAACCCGAAGACCCGAATCCGACCCGAACTTCGGGTTGGGGGGGGGTACGGGTTCCATGTGTTTTTTCAATGCTCCCCGACCCCCCCACTGGAAATCGAGGGTAAACTTGGACCTTCGGGTTGGGTTGGGGTGGTTTGGTGGGTGGTGAGCAGCTCGATCAAATCAAACACAGCAAATCCGTCGTAACGGGGATTGGAGTACTGAGACTACGCACTAGAACAGGGGCAGCTGCGTGAAAGCTCGAACTCTCAAGGCTAAGCGCCACAAGACAATTTAAGTGCTAAGCGCCTTGCGATAGCAAGCGAAAAAAGAGTACGGCCGTGCAGAACCGTGTACGTGCACGAGGAACTGATCCACAGGCTCACAGCAGGTGGAGAGCGCGGCTCCTGATGAAAATGGCTGCCACGGAGCGGCGTCCCATCGGTACGGCGAAGCGCAGACTTCAGAAAACAAAAGGACTCAAGCAGGGGCGGGAAAAGGGTCTCTGGTCAGAAGAACGTCGCGCAAAACTAGATCGCTGCTAAAATGGCGCGCTAGTGTCAGCGCGCGCCGTATCTCACGGACTGCGTATGGAGACCTCCGGCGAACGGCAACCCCATGGAGATGCCTGGCATCTTTGGGCCAGGGGGAGACGACGAGGCAGACCGCGACTGCAAGGCAACTAGTGTCGGGAGATGCCAACAGCCACGAACAGATGCCTGGAACCTCGTAGCACTGCGCCGTGATGCTGAGCTTGGAAACCGCTATCTGCGCCAGGGGCTGCAGCTGCCGTAGCGGCAGTGGCGATCCTCGACGGCGAACGGCAACCTCGTGATAATGCCCGGCACCTTGCAGAACTCCGCCGTGATGCTGAGGTTAGAGGCCGCCGCCTGCGCAAGGACGCTTTGCCAAAGCGGCAGTAGTCCTCGTAGGCTGTCGGAAGCAGACACCCAGCACCTCGCAGCGCTCCGCCGTGATGCGTCCTCGGACGCGATCTCAAAGCAACCCGCGTCTGCGACACCGCTGAGGCCGAAGACAATCGGCAGCTACGTGTATGCCCAGAACCTCGTACCTCGTAGCCCTCCACCGTGGTGCTGAGCTTGGAAGCCACCACCAGCGCCAAGGACTCGCTACTGTTGCTTCATGAAGATGCAGAGCGTTCCAGAAAGGCAAAACACTGGCAGGGGAAAACGACGAAGCAGGCCGCGACTGCAAGGCAAATGGTGTCGCAGGAGATCGGCAGTCCCGAATTGAAGCCCAGTACTTTGTAGCACTCCGCCACGGTGGTGGGCATAGCGGCCGCCGACAACGCCAGGGACGCGTTGCCATAGCGGCAGTGGTAGTCCTCGAAATCGATTGTCAGCCCCGTGTAGATGCCCAGCGCCGCCATGAAAACTGGCCCATGGCGGCGATGCCACCGGCGTTGTCGGAGATGGTGCCATAGGAAGCGATTGTGAGGACAATCAACATCGTGCCGTACCATACAGGATTCGGCCTGACCTAAGGAACGATAAATAAGGAACGAAGCCCATTTTTCCAAGGAGCAACAGGGAGGCTCGCCGCCAAACAGGTAGCGGAACGCATGCAAAGCAAAGGAACGACCGAGCCCCTTTTGAAAAGCAAGCGTTCCTTCTTCAAGCTGGATCCTGTACATACCCAGCGCGTAGCGCGCCTTTCCGGACATGCTGCAACAATCGAGGGCGAGGAGGAGGAGGAGGAGGAGGAGGAGGAGGAGGAGGAGGAGGAGCTGAGCGTGGCCGGCTGCGCAGGCGCGCGTGCGAGCGGGGGCCACGCTCAGGAGCGCAGCGCCCAGTGGGCCCCCGCCGCGGCGTCGCGGTGCGCCGACGGGGGGGGCGAGGCTGCTGCGACGACGGACTGCGGCTCGGCCCTCTCGAGCCCAAACTGGCCACGGCCGAGGGGGGGAGGAGCGAGGAGGGAGGAGCGAGGAAGAAACGAGGGAGGAGCGAGGAAGAAACGAGGAAGAGGAAGAAACGAGGGAGGAGCGAGGAAGAGAAGAAACGAGGAAGAGGAAGAAACGAGGAAGAGGAAGAAACGAGGAGCGAAGAGGGAGGAGCGAGGAAGAGACGAGGGAGGAGCGAGGAGGGGGAGAGCGTTCGGTGGCAACTCGCGGGAGCCTCCCACGCCATCTTGTTGGCTCTCGCTAGTCGACGCTGCTGATCGGCGCTGAAGCGAATTTCGTCGATGCTGATTGACGCTACATCGGCGCTGTCTCATCGAGCACCACACGCTATATCGACGCCAGTGCACTCTGAAGACGGAATTGCTAAGGCTCACAAGGATCGGCGGTGGACAAACCTCCCTGAGTAGACCTCCCCTTAGTGAAAACGGCCTGGGACCGAAACCGACGGACCTGGACCCGCAAAAATGACGGCCGCGACGCCCCCTCGCGAACCGAAGACGGCCAATTCCTCAGTCGACGTGTCAGGGTAGGAGGTCTGTCCACCCCCGAAAGGATCCCATGATTTGCGACCGCGAGGGCGGGGGGGGAATGCGCTACATCGGCGCTGCCTCATCGACCACCACACGCTGTGTCGACGCGAGTGCACACGGAAGACGGGATTGCTAAGGCTTACAAGGGTTCTTGAGTCCTTGGCAGATCTATCCTGGATGCTCGGCTTGGACAACCTGCCTGTACTCCGCATATCAAGCCTGGGACATCTTCTTAGGCCCGGCGCCACCAGAGGAGTAACCACCGCATGCGCGTATGCAAGAGACTGTAAGGGAGGGAGAAGGGGAGCGACCGCGAGGGCGGCGGGGGGGAGCCCGAGACAAAAAGCTCGAGCCAAAATGGCTACGGAACGAAGGTTTGGGGCTGTTGCCTGCCCCCTGGAGGCCTCGCTCGCCAGGCCCCGGGGCGGTCAGAGGACCACTCCAGGTGAAGAAAGAACTGGCACTGCGGGAAGGGTTTGAGACCTCTCTGGGCCCACGTTGGGGGGAGCGCCTGGGTAGACCGAGTGGCACATGCAACTCAAGGTTGTGCGAGAAGGGAGAAGGGGAGCGACCGCGAGGGCGGGGGGGGGGAAGGCGCCCCGAGATCGCGGGGCGAGCGCCGAGGCGCCCACTGCGCCGCTACGCCGCCGCGGCGCGGGCCGCCGGCAGGAACGCCGCGCTGCGGGCCGCGGGGGCGGGGGCGCAGCTCGCTCGCTCGCTCGCAGGGAGCGCACAACGCCCTGGGCCCGCCCGCCTGATCGGTCCCGCCACAGCCTCGGGGACCCTTCGCCATCGTCGTTCGGCGTCGACGGCCTCGTCGTCGTTCGTCGTCGTGGTCGTCGGCGTCGTCTTCGGCGTCGGCGTCTAGTCCTCGTCGTCTTCGGCGTCGGCGTCGTCGTCGTCTCGTCGTCGTCGTCGTCTCGTTGTCGTCGTCGTCGTCGTCGTCGTCGTCGCCTTCAGCCCCGGCGTCGGCGTCGGCATCGGCGGCGTCGTCGTCGTCTCGTCGTCATCGTCGTCGTCGTCGTCGTCTTCAGCGTCGGCGTCGGCGTTGTCGGCGTCGTCGTCTCGTCGTCGTCGTCGCCGTCGTCGTCGTCGCCGTCGTCGTCGTCTTCGGCGTCGGCGTCTGCGTCGTCGTCTCGTCATTGTCGTCTTCTCGTCGTCGTCGTCGTCGTCGTCGTCGTCGTCGTCTAGTCGTCGTCGTCGTGTTCGTCGTCGTCGTCGTCTCGTCATTGTCGTCGTCTCGTCGTCTAGTCGTCGTCGTCGTCGTCGTCGTCGTCGTGGTCGTCATGTTGTCGGCGTCGTCGTCGTCATAGTCGTCGTCGTCGTCGTCTCGTCGTCGTCGTCTTCGGCACCAGCGCCGGCGTCGGCGTCGTCGTCGGCCTCGTCGTCTTTCGTCGTCTCGTCGTCCTCGTCGTGGTCGTCGTCGTCATCGTCGTCGTCTTCGGAGTCGGCATCGGCGTCCGCGTCGGCGTCGTGTTCGTCGTGTTCGTCGTCGTCTTCGGCGTCGGCGTCGGTGTCATCGTCGTCGTCTCGTCATTGCCATCGTCTCGTCGTCGTCGTCGTTGTCGTCGTCGTCTAGTCGTCGTCGTGGTCGTCGTCGTTGTCTTCGGCGTCGGCGTCGTCGTCGTCTCGTCGTTGACGTCGTCTTGTCGTCGTATAGTCGTCGTCGTCGTTGTCGTCGTCGTCGTCGTCGTCTCGTCGTCGTCGTCGTCCCTTCACACCCTCGTCGTTCGTCGTCTCGTCGTCGTCATTCGTCGTCGTCGTCGTCGTCGGCGTCGTTGTCGTTGTCGTCGTCGTCGTCGTCGTCGTCTCGTCGTCGTCGTTGTCGTCGCCGTCTCGTCGCCGTCGTCTCGTCGTCGTCGTCGTCGTCGTCTCGCCGTCGCCGTCGCCGTCGTCGTCGTCTAGTCGTCTAGTCGTCGTCGTCGTCGTCGTCTTCGGCGTCGGCGTCGTCGTCGTCTCTTCGTCGGCGTCGGCGTCGTCGGCGTCCGCGTCGTCGTCGTCTCGTCGTCGTTGTCGGCGTCGTCGTCTCGGTGTCGGCCTCGTCGTCGTCGGCGTCGTCGTGGTCGTCGTCTCGTCGTCGTCGTCTCGTCGTAGTCGTCGTCGTCGTCGTCGTTGTCTTCGGCGTCGGCGTCGTCGTCGTCGTCTTGGGCGTCGGCGTCGGCGGCGGCGTCGTAGTCTCGTCGTTGTCGTCGTCTCGTTGTCGTCGTCGTCTCGTCGTCGTCGTCGTCGTCGTCGTGTCGTCGTCGTCGTCGTCTAGTCGTCGTCTTCGGCGTCGGCGTCGTCGTCGTCTTGGGCGTCGGCGTCGATCGATCCCGCCACACCCTCGGGGCCCCTTCGCCATCGTCGTTCGGCGTCGACGGCCTCGTCGTCGTTCGTCGTCGTGGTCGTCGGCGTCGTCTTCGGCGTCGGCGTCTAGTCCTCGTCGTCTTCGGCGTCGGCGTCGTCGTCGTCTCGTCGTCGTCGTCGTCTCGTTGTCGTCGTCGTCGTCGTCGTCGTCGTCGCCTTCAGCCCCGGCGTCGGCGTCGGCATCGGCGGCGTCGTCGTCGTCTCGTCGTCATCGTCGTCGTCGTCGTCGTCTTCAGCGTCGGCGTCGGCGTTGTCGGCGTCGTCGTCTCGTCGTCGTCGTCGCCGTCGTCGTCGTCGCCGTCGTCGTCGTCTTCGGCGTCGGCGTCTGCGTCGTCGTCTCGTCATTGTCGTCTTCTCGTCGTCGTCGTCGTCGTCGTCGTCGTCGTCTAGTCGTCGTCGTCGTGTTCGTCGTCGTCGTCGTCTCGTCATTGTCGTCGTCTCGTCGTCTAGTCGTCGTCGTCGTCGTCGTCGTCGTCGTGGTCGTCATGTTGTCGGCGTCGTCGTCGTCTCGTCGTCATAGTCGTCGTCGTCGTCGTCGTCTCGTCGTCGTCGTCTTCGGCACCAGCGCCGGCGTCGGCGTCGTCGTCGGCCTCGTCGTCTTTCGTCGTCTCGTCGTCCTCGTCGTGGTCGTCGTCGTCATCGTCGTCGTCTTCGGAGTCGGCATCGGCGTCCGCGTCGGCGTCGTGTTCGTCGTGTTCGTCGTCGTCTTCGGCGTCGGCGTCGGTGTCATCGTCGTCGTCTCGTCATTGCCATCGTCTCGTCGTCGTCGTCGTTGTCGTCGTCGTCTAGTCGTCGTCGTGGTCGTCGTCGTTGTCTTCGGCGTCGGCGTCGTCGTCGTCTCGTCGTTGACGTCGTCTTGTCGTCGTATAGTCGTCGTCGTCGTTGTCGTCGTCGTCGTCGTCGTCTCGTCGTCGTCGTCGTCCCTTCACACCCTCGTCGTTCGTCGTCTCGTCGTCGTCATTCGTCGTCGTCGTCGTCGTCGGCGTCGTTGTCGTTGTCGTCGTCGTCGTCGTCGTCGTCTCGTCGTCGTCGTTGTCGTCGCCGTCTCGTCGCCGTCGTCTCGTCGTCGTCGTCGTCGTCGTCTCGCCGTCGCCGTCGCCGTCGTCGTCGTCTAGTCGTCTAGTCGTCGTCGTCGTCGTCGTCTTCGGCGTCGGCGTCGTCGTCGTCTCTTCGTCGGCGTCGGCGTCGTCGGCGTCCGCGTCGTCGTCGTCTCGTCGTCGTTGTCGGCGTCGTCGTCTCGGTGTCGGCCTCGTCGTCGTCGGCGTCGTCGTGGTCGTCGTCTCGTCGTCGTCGTCTCGTCGTAGTCGTCGTCGTCGTCGTCGTTGTCTTCGGCGTCGGCGTCGTCGTCGTCGTCTTGGGCGTCGGCGTCGGCGGCGGCGTCGTAGTCTCGTCGTTGTCGTCGTCTCGTTGTCGTCGTCGTCTCGTCGTCGTCGTCGTCGTCGTGTCGTCGTCGTCGTCGTCTAGTCGTCGTCTTCGGCGTCGGCGTCGTCGTCGTCTCGTCGTTGACGTCGTCTCGTCGTCGTCGTCGTCGTCGTCGTGTCGTCGTCGTCTCGTCCTCGTCGTCGTCGTCGTCATAGTCGTCGTCGTCGTCGTCGTCGTCGTCGTCCCTCCACACCCTCGGGGCCCATTCGCCCTCGTGGTTTTTCGTCGACGGCCTCGTGGTCGTTCGTCGTCTTACTCGTCGTCGTCGTCGTCTCGTCGTCGTCGTCTCGTCGTCGTCGTCGTCTCGTCGTCGTCGTCGTCGTCGTCTCGTCTCGTCGTCGTCGTCGTCGTCGTCGTCGTCGTCGGCGTCGTCGTCACCTGCCCCTACTCCCTTTCCTCCTCCCCCCCCGGATGCCCCCGATCTCAATCTTGAGCCAGCCGCGGCCGACGGCGGAAAATCCGCCAGCCCTGTCGGCGTGTGTGGAGGACTTTTCCGTTCGAGTCGGGCTGTTCCGTTGGAGTCGTCGTCTCTGTCATCCTCTGGTCCATTTCTCATACGCGCCCTCCAAAGCAACATTGCACACCCTAGGAATGGAATCGAAGGGAAGCTCCTTCCCTTTGATCCCTTTCCCGCGCCGGGGGGGGGGGGGGTCCCCACCCAGATACGCTTTCCCGGTGAGGGGGGTCCCAAGGGGGGGGTCGGTCGCCGTCGTCGTCGACGCCCCCCTTCAGGGTCGGCGGCATCGGCCGCAAGGCCTTCGCAATCGGATCGCGCGGCGCCCCGCGCGAACACTGAAAGTGACGGGCGCGGGGAGACTGACCGCGCGAGAGGTTGCACTGCTTTTCAGGGGAAGAGCGCAGTCTTGAGCAGTCTATCGGGGGGGCAAAAGGAGCGACTCCGCCGACCCCGCCGGCATGCGTGAGAGGCCTCCGTCAGGCCCTCGCGAAGTCCGCTCATCCCACGCGATGCCTTCCGCAAAGCCAACTCAGTGTGCTGCAAGGGAAGGCCCTTCCCTGTATCCCTTTCCTACGAGGGGGGGCACCACGGGAGGTGGGGGTGGCGGGGCGTGCCCACCCGAGTAAAACGGAGACCCTCCCTCCTCCGCCTCGTTTTCCTCCCTCTTCACCTTCCTCCTCCCTCATCGTCGTCGCCGCCTCGTCGTCGTCGCAGCCCCACCTCCCCCCGCTCTTTCTGCTCACCCCTCCCCATCCAGAGGGCCACACGAGGACCCCCACCAGAAACCCAATACACAAAACAACTATGATATACCTAATGTTGTTCCAAGGTTATTAGCGGTCGCGCCGCTTCTTGTCTTCAAACGTTTTTAGGGCGGCCCTAAAGGCTTCCAGTATCGCACCAGGATAGCCGAAGGAGCCCCAGAGAGGGCAGAGGGCTCCAATACAGCCAACGAGGGCCCCAAGACGGCCCAAGAGGTTCCCAAGATGGACCCACGAGGAGGAATGCGCAGCGCCATTGGGAGCCCTCACCCTAACATGAACCCCGAGACTTTCGGCACGGACGAGAGGGACGGATAGCATAAAGGTGGGGATGGAGGATCAGATGCACGAAGCCGGCTTTTAGGCCAAGGGCCTGGCGGCGGGGCCGACACCGGGCCCCAGAGAAGGGTCGGGGAGCAACCGTCCGCTCCACCTTCAGATCCGGTCCTCCGTCCCTCCCCGAAGGGAAGGGGAGCTGGCCACCCTGAGACTGTGCGGCGACAGGTCGTGTGCGGTGGCCTCGCCTGTGGGAGGCCCCAGGTCGCCCGAGGCGTCCTCAGGCAGCGAGCCAAGCCCCCCAAGGCCGTGCGGCCTCCCCGGAACCCCGCTGACTCACCACGCGGTGTGGCCACCGCACCGTGTGGGGGGGCCCCGACGGGGAGTCCTCCTTTCCAGAACCCCCGGCGTCAGGAACTTGTCATAGCGTCGGCCCGCAGAGGTGTCGACCCATTCCCCGGGAGCGGCTCTTCGTCCCGAGGCCCGGCGGGGGCCCCCGGAGGCCGAACATCGAGAAACATCCCGTGGGGGCTTGTTCTGGACTCCAGGGGAGAGCATGCTACGCATGGAATGAGGTCAATGGAAATAATTTGCAGTGGATCCGTGAGTGGATCAATCTAGATTGATGAGGCTATGATGCCTCTCTTGATTCTGAGCCGGCTATGATGCCCGCCCGTGCCCACCCCGTCCCGTCTTCAGGGACTTCGCATCCCCCTATGATGGTAAGATGGGAAGACGGGTCCCCCCTAAAGGGCAGGGATCTGCGCCGGGGAGGGGGCCTGCCGCCGCCAGCCGCGGCGAGGCCGCACTGCGGGGGCAGCAGTGGGGCCGCGCGGGCGGCGTCCGCCTGCGCGCTGCAGGGAGCTCTCTCGTGCCTGACAGTCTGAAAGGGGAACTGGGACACACAGATAAATACACACCAATAAAACTATCCTCCATATTTTCTGATATTTTCTGGGTGTTTGTCTTCCCCCCTACTTCCCACATTTTCCCATATTTTCTTGGAATCGCCGATTAATTGTGTCTGTGTGTTTTTCCCCCTCCTGAGTCATCGTAGTGCTATGCATGGACGCCACTGAATATAGGCCTCCGAAGTGGGGTCCAGAAAGGTGGGGTCGAAGGATCGCTCCGCGTTGCCGTCAGTGCATCGTCGACGCGGCTCGATGCATATCTAGTTTGCTTCACGTCGACAAGGCCGATGCAACACCGACGTCGAAGGTGCATCGCCGATACATCGCCGATGCATTGTCGATGCGGCGCGAACCTCCGACACCATCTACTCGAACACCATCTGTTGAGCAGGGACCGACCGTCCCGCATTCCTATAGGCCTACCACGACATGGTCTTAGAACCCCCAAGCACGTTCTTATAACAAGACAAATGTTCTTAGAACATAAGCCCGATGTGTTAAGACAAAAGAGTCCTGGCCAGATATGTTCTAAGAACATTTCGTGCAAGCCTCAAACAGCTTTTAGAAAATTTGTTGGTGGGCCTATAGGCGAGCCAGGACGCTTCGCCACTGCTTGTACCTGGAAGGCCTCCAGATAAGGAGCGAAGGGGCTGTCCTGGCCACGGCGAACCTCGGCCACGAAGAGGCTTCCCCCGACCTAGACCTGAGCAACGGTCCAGAAACCAGAGCCCGTCCCGAGCCTAACGTGGTCCTTACTGCAGCGCCGTGGCTGTCAGCTGCATCGTCGGGGGGTCGTCGTCCTCATCTCTCTCCTTCTCCTCTCTATCTTCTCGACCCTCATGGCGAAAAGAAGGCGCCCGTGCTCTGTACCATGTTTGGGCTCGCTTCAGATCCCGCTCCAACGCGGTACGGTGCATAGTTCACGGGCCCCAGACCTCTCGACCACTTCCCTGAGACCGATGTTTCATCCCGAGCGTTCCCGGGGCCGCAAAGGCCCCGCGAGGCCGAAAACGATGACAAGCCTCCGCGTCGAATTTGCTGAGACGCTGGATGGCTGGGCCTCCTCCTTCTCTCCTCCTGCTCCTCCTCCTCAGACTGCACGCGAAAACGCCGTGTCGATCGTGGCCACCGCCCATCTTTGAAGGGGCCCCAGGACACACAAATAAATACACACAAATAAAATGATTCCCCATATTTTCCTATATTTTCTGGGTTTTTGTCCTCCCCCCCACTTCCCATATTTTCCCATATTTTCCTGGGAGTCGACGATTAATTGTGTCTGTGTGTTTTTCCCCCCCCTGAATCTTGGCCAGCGCCCTCCCGCGGACCCTCCCCGCGAGCTCGGCGACGGCCGACCCGGGGCCGTGCCCGAGCTCGGCACCGACGAGATCCCGCGACGCCTTTCGGGTCGGGCGAGAGGGGGGCCTAGGATAGCAAAGGGGGGGGTTGAGACTCTCGGGGGAAAACAAACCTACCTCGCTTTTGACCACCCTCGCTTCCAAGAGATACCAAACAATGCCAAATTGCGGCCTGTACTGGTCAGGATGCTTGACGAGGAGGCGCGTGGTATGGCTTGGTTTTGCCTGGAAGCGAAAGCGGGGGAGGTAATTCACGCTCTGAGACTCAGCTCACATAGCTGATTCTTCTGGCGCCTCCTGGCGCCGGAGGCGGCTATGTATCGAGGAATGGGCCCCTCGGTGGGGCCGGAGCCAGCTGCACATGCAGCAGATTGCGTAATGAACCCCCCCTTTCCCCAACCCCCCCTTCCGTCCGGCCCGCGTCTTGGCCGTGGCCAGCCCTGGAAAGGCACTTGCGAGGTGCCTGCGTGGCCGTGGCCGTGGCCGTGGCCGTGGCCGCAGCGTGGCCGTGGCCAGCGCGCTTTCGCCCCTCAATCTCGGCAGGCTCGCGCCGGCCGCCGCGCCGAGGCCCGCCGAGCCGGCGGGCGAGGAGCGGCGGGCGGCGCGAGGCCGCGGCGCCTGGGCCCCCCTCCCGCGGGGGGGGGGCGCCTACAGGGGCCCCCCGCCGGCCAGGGCCAGGACCGCGTCCCGGAGCCGCTCGTACTCGCCCAGGTGGTTGTAGATCCCCCGGCGACCCTCGGGACGTGTGTCGACGCCAGCGCGTGCTCGTCCACGCGTGGGAGCCCGCGCCCTGGCCCACGCGCACCACAGGCACTGCACGGCCTTCGAAGCGTGCTCCGCCGCCCGCGGCGTCCTCTCCCCCCCTCTTCCGCGCCCTGCCTGCTCCTGTTGCGCCTGAGTTGGCCCCGAGGCGCCACTCGGCCGGCCCAACTGCGTCTTGGACCCAAGTCGCCGCGACAACAAAAGGGTGTCCACCTGGGACCCAGACCCTTCAGTACGACGCAGGCGGCGCAACCAGGGCCGACACTGGCCTCGCGCTATCGGTGGAGCTGCACGGGGTACAAACACACACGCACGCTTGGCTGCCACACGTCCTGGGGATCATCGAATGTTGGAAGACCCCCGACAAGACATGGACATAAGCTTGTGGATGCCATGACAATGGTCACTCTAACAATCCTATCATTGAATTAAAGATGTGTCTGTTTAAACTGTGTAGAATATGTTATAACAACGTTTCAAACATGTTTTTACCGATGTAAAACATATTTGGAACATTTCGACATCTGGAAATTATTTGGCTGCATGCTTCCTCTTTAAAAATCGACTTCCACAAACATACACCTTCGGAGGTCCGCCTGGCCTTTCCGGGGCGGCGCTGGACATCCCCCCCCGTGGCGCGGAGCGCGCCGGGGGGGGCCATCTGCGCCGCCAGGGGGGGGGGTCCAAGGCCGATCCGAAAGTCCGTGGCACCTCCAACAATCAATGTTTGCACATGTCGTCGGGGGCCTTCCGGATGTGCGCGGAGATCCGGACATAGAGCCGCCCCGACAGCGCCTTCACTGGGACTTCGATCCTCCGCTGGAAGAGCGCGTTCTGGACGACCTCGGCATGCTCGTACCGCCACGCGGTCCCCGCCTCGCCCAGGCCTTCAGGGGGGTGGGGAGATACCATATCACCCATTCGGGCCTCCACGGGACTGCATTCAGGTGTTGTGTCGCCTCCCGGCCAAGCCGGGATGGTGAACCCAACCAGTCATTACCTCCGACGCCGTGATGATTTCCAGTGCGCGTGCACCAAACCTCTCAACCACTGGGACGGTTTGCCTCTAATATCGGATAATTTTGGACGGCCCCACGGCTCGAAAACGGCTGCCCAAAAAATCGCCAAACGGCAAAAGACACGACGCCGGAACTCCGGGAGCACAGATCGGCACGTGAACGCACGGTGGTCATGGTGTCTGCGGCCTGGCCACTGCCCCTCTCCCGACGGGCCTGGCAGGTGCGGAAGCTCCACGAGGGCCACGGGCGGGGGCAGCCAGGGCGCGGCAAGGGTTGCGGGTGGCGGTATCCGGCCACCAGCCTCTGCACCCCTCCCCCCAAACAGGGAGCCCGGGAGGCGCGCCTGCGGCCGGGCTCGCACGCCGAGTGCGCCCAGGCGCCGCGCGCGCCGAGGGGCACACGCGGCGTGCGAAAGCCTGTCGCTCACACTCCTGTCCGCGCGGGGGCCGAGCCCTGGGAAAGCATGCGGGCGCGCGGCCGTCCAGCTCTCGGCTGCATGCGGACGCGCGTCGTGCGCATCCATCCTCCAGGCGCCCCGCGAGGTCTGACGTCATGGGCAGATCGTCAAGTCGTGGAAATATCTTCCTGCGGCGACTCTGGAGCCAGATCGACCCCGCGACAGGGCCCAAGACATGGGAGAAGAACGCCACTCACGTTTTTCACGATTCCCGGATCTGAGGGCTCGGGGATCTCCTGACCCGGGTCAATCCAGACCCGGGTCAGTCAGGCCTGCAGGATCCTGCAACCTCCTGCAAAATCCTGCACCCAAACCCGGGTCAATGCGAATGATCCTGCAGGATCCTGCAGGATCCTGCACCCAAACCCGGGTCAATGCGACCCTGGCCCTGCAGGATCCTGCAAGATCAGGCGCTCTGGCTGACCCCCGTTTGCATTGACCCCCGTCTCAAGGCTCCCGAAGGGCTCTGGGTTATCTACCCCCGGCCACCCTCGCGGGCGGGAAACATATCCATGTCCACAGCCTCGCGGTCCGGACTTCTCGGCCGCGACCCCATGGATACGCGGCGGCGCTGCGCGGATGCCACACGCACCACGTCTCCATGGCATATCGTCTCGGTATGCAGCCCGCGAGGGCATGGATATGAGGATGCAAGATTGGGACGCTCGCAAGGAAAAGTGACAAATGGATCGGATGCCCAACACGAAACGTTGTCCAACACCGACAGGGGTCGCTGTTGGGCAGGAGCTTTCTGCCCCAAGTGGACAACGTTCGCGGCGACACCGGCAGCGAGTCGTGTCGAAACTGAGCAAAAACTGCTGTCGATCTTTTCGTCATCATTCTTCCCATACCAATTTCGAGTGTACCAACAAGAGGAGGGACGCGGAGAGCAGGAGGAGGGGTATCTGGGTAATAAGGACGAGGGGGGGGCGCTTGGAGGCGGCCTGGAGGTCTGAACTGTTTGGGAACCCAAGACAACAATCAGAAAGAGGGGATGAAGCCAAATCCGCTCACAATCGGTCCCTGGTCTCCTCCCGGGGCCCACCTGGTGCAATGTTTCACACCGGGATCCGTCTGCCACTGTCCCGAGGCACGAAGACTGCCCGTGGAGGCTGAACGACGCAAATATTCTCAGGGGGGAAAAAAACCTACCTCGCTTTTGACCACCCTCGCTTCCAAGAGATACCAAGCGATACCAAACTACGGACTGTACTGGTCAGGTCGCTTGACGAAGAGGCGCGTGGTATGACTTGGTTTTTCCTGGAAGCGAAAGCGGGGCAGGCAATTCACGCTCTGAATTCTTCCCAAAGCCACAGCCTCGAACCTGCCCGCCCTGCCTGCCGGCCAGAACCGGTGCTGGGGCACCTCAGACCCCCAGACTGCCCCAAGCGGAGAGGAGGGGAGGGGTATAAGTAGGAGGGAAAGAGATGGGAGCGCGGGAGCAGGAGGAGCGGGATCCTCAAACGATTCCCCGCGACTGCGCTGGAGATGTGCTCGTCTCTCGTGGCTCCCCATCGGCGGCGGGGGGAGCCCTGAGATCCGACGTTGCGAAACAACTGTGCCATCGCGAAAACTGACGACCAGGGCCCTGGACCGAATATTTCTGCAGCACGTGCGGGCAAGATGTTTCATGGCCCACATCCAAGGCATCTCGGAGTTCCAGGCTCCTTTCCCCCGACACCCGAGGCGCAGTGGACATAGATAAAAGTCTGGCCCCTAGAGGCTAGACTGTTGTCGGTCTCCAATGCGCCTCGGCCTTCTGGCGCCCCTTCCGAGTCCTGCCGAACGATCCCAATTCCCGCAAATCATTTGTGCAAAGCGGTGGACGTTGCAGTGGGTACGAATACACACCTCGCCCGCACCCTAAAACCCCATCTTGCTGCTGCATCTTCCGAGCCGGATCGATCTGTGATGGCCCCGGGGTCCGCAGCCGAGCGAAAGACGCCCGGCATGAAAGCTGCAACGCCCGGCTCGATGATCCTCAGACTGGCCATCGCTCGGACGTCCACATCCTGTGTTTTTGTTTGGGTTTCGTGCGTGGTTTTTTCGCGAAATGATCAAGGATGCTCCTCGATGGTCCTCGCCGAAGGAAACATGCACACGTCCGAGCGATGCCAAGCAGAGGGTGTGTCGGCGTCAGTGTGGGCTGGTCCACCGAAGTTCTTCAATACGACGCAGGCGGTGCGGTGAGGGCCGACACGGGACGCGTCCCATCGGTGGAGCCGAACGGAAAAACACACACTCGTCTAACACACAACACGACGGAATCTATTCATATCCGCTGCTCCCTGGCCAGACCCATCCTGAACCCAGCAGCGATGTATACGCCACGCCCTCCTGGCTTGGCCAGGAGGGCGTACACACAACTCCTGGCTCCTGGGCCCAGGAAGGGCCCGTCCAGGGGGCAGTGGACATGTATCGATCTCGTCGCCCGAACACGCGTCCTGAGGACCACCGACCGGATCTCAGGGGGGCAAGGCTGAACCTCAACGGTGTTTCGTTTTCGTTTTGTTTTCGTTTTCCCACGCTTTTGTCTGGAATCCGCCTTTCCCGCAAAATCAAGCCGAAACGAAAACGGCCCACGAGATCGCCAAAAAACACCGTTTAGGTCCAGCCCTGCAGAGGGGGGGGAGGCGGCAAACCCCCGCCGCTTCCGCGGCCCCGGCTGCCCCGCAATGGGGCCCGTGAGCTCGGCGGGGAAGCCCCTGCCAGTGCGCCAGGCCTCTGCCAGCATCCCCGCCGCGTCGCCGGCGAGGGACCTGTCGGGCAGGGGGGGGCCGAGTCCGCCTCAGGACAAGGCGCACAGGGACACACTGGTACATGTGTGCCCTCCTCGGAGGCGTGCGACCGACCCGAACATCTAGCACAAACATGGTATAGTGCATCGTTCCCCGAGCGGTATGGCAAGGAAGCGCCCGCCACGAGAAGATTTCTTGGCGCGCGTGTCGACTCTGGGGGGGCGGCGCCCACATAGTATTTGTATGTTGGGGTGAGGCCGATGAGGAGGCAACTGCTGGGAGACCTTCGCAAGAACGACCAAGACCGGCCAAGCCCCACTGAGGGGCCAGTAGGCCAGAATAGCCCAGATTAGGCACATGATTCGGCCTGATGCAGCGGCATGGAAGGGGGGTCAAGACGAACCAAGCGGAATTGAACCAAATGAAAATGGTTTCCGACCAGAGAGATACCGATCCACCGGCGCCGATGCTCTGTGAAGTATCCCAACAGCTGCAACCAAGGACGCCCTTTAGCAAATGCACCCAGGGAGAAAAAAACTGCACACGGCAGGGCTCCTCAACAAACGCCCAAATCACACTTAAAAAAAAAGCCAGCTGTGTGGGTGGGGGCGTTCTTTGTCCCTCCCTAGGGCACCGACAGTACAGCTGCGCGGCCTCCAGGCCAGCCCTGCCACCCCAGAAGGCTAGCACAGCGTCCAGCGCGAGCCTGGAGGAAATGGAAGGACGGCATCCGCACAAAACATCGGAGGTCCGCGCGAACTTCTTGGGCCGCCGCCGGCCCCCCTCCGACGGAGCCTCTGGCAGTCCCTGGCGTGCCGCGCACGCCGAGGCAGGGGGTTCCAACGCAGGCCCCAAGAGATCCGCGCGGACCCCCGCAAGCTGTCATGTGCTTTTTGTCGACCGTCGGGAGCCAGGAGCTGAAGTCGGACAGCCCAGACCAATAGAAGCCGCTCGCGAAGTCGGACCCGAAGCCGTGTGATATCACCAGGGGCTCGATCCACTCCTGCAGCCAGTAAGGCGCCAAGCACACGCCGATCGTAGCTCCATTCCATCCTGGGCCCTGGGCCGTTGCACCGTGTGCCCTCCCGTCCAGGCTGGAAGGGCATCTGCACCGATCCTGGGCCCAAGACAAGTCTGGCCTTAAGTCGGACCTGTCCTCCTACATGCCGATTTTGGACGAAAAATTGGAAATACAAAAAAAATACACAAAAAATATCAGAAATTGTCAAGAAGCAGTCCCCAGACTATTGTTTGACTATTTTAATCTATCCCCCCTGTAAAGGGACAGGCCCGACTTACCTCTAAGCTCCCCCGGTTCTGAAAAATGCATCGGGCCCCGCGGCCGTGCAAGGACGCTCCAGAGCGGACTGAAGGCGTTCTCGAGCGCTCTCGAATCAGTTATCCTGTTCCTGGCCTTGCCCAGCAGTTGCCGCCTCCCGATCCTGGTGCCTCTCGGGGACGTGCAAGACGGCGGTGCCCTTCTGGGGAAATCAACAAGTACCGATACCGCTACTCCACGGACCTCTCCTGGGGTGCGTTCTGATCAAACTTTCAAAGCAAATCCGGCGATGGTGACGAGGGCCTCCTCGGAGACAAAGAACGCGAAAATGACGGACTGAGAAGGCCGAACGGTCTTATACTATCCCTGGGCGTGGGTGAAGTGGGGTTCCGTGACCCCGGTTCTGCTTGATTTTGGTATCTGAAATTTGATTTCTGAGAAAGAAGATTGTTGATTCTTCCCCTCCGGTGCACCTTGTGCTTTGTTGGTTTGAATGCCACTCCCGGGGCTCGCACCCTGTTTCCTCCGAAAAAACATCTCGGGTCTCCACACTGCGTCGTCGGCCTCCGAACTACAACAGCAACGGTACCCGCCTGAACCTTCCCTACAAATTACTGGGAGATCGAGCTCCCGCCCGGGACTTCCTGGCAAGTTGTTTAAGAATCGCTCTCTCGACAGAGACTTCATTACATTTTATTCACGAGCCGCTCTCTCGACACTCTGGAATCGCGCTCTCGCTCGGGACATCCTCATATTTTACTCATGAATTTACTCATGAACTACGTCCTCGCCTGAAACTTCCTTGGCATCCCTCCGCTCTTGCTAAGCCCTCTTGCTAATCCCTCTCGTCCTCTATCTTCTCCCTCCCTCCTGGCCCCCTCACCTCATTCCTCCCTTCCACCATTCCCTTCATCCTCGCCCTCCCGTTTCCATTCTTTCGGTTCTTAGTGATTTGTAAGCTGTGCCAATTACACCTGGCAGGTAAGGAAGATCTCTCACCAAAGGAGGTATGAACAAAGACGCAGAGGACGGGTTTCGAGGATTTGGGATACTCATGTTGACTGGCATGCCAACATACTATAGCGAACAATCTGAAATTACAGTGGAAACCGCACTCCTAAACAACAAATTGTATTGATCCTCCGCCTCCAATTCGCCCTGTGTTTTTAATTGAAGTACCCCTCCGAAGGCTCGCACCCGGTTTTTTACAAGGAACGGTTGTGAGCCTCAGGCTGTACCCCTGGCCCCCGACTTAAAAAAAAAAAAAAAACAGCAACATCAGCATCAACAGCATCATGACTAACAACATCAACAACACCACAAACAACAACAACAACAACAACAACAACAACAACAGCAGCAACAGCAACAGCAACAGCGACAACAACAACAACAACAACAGCAACAGCAACAACAACACCAACACCAACACCAACACCAACAACACCAACAACACCAACAACACCAACAACAACAACAACAACAACAACAACAACACCAACAAGAACAACACCAACAAGAGCAACACCAGCAACAGCAACAGCAACATCAACAACAACAACAACAACATTCATGGTCATACTGTTCGCTCTTATCTGCTCGCGTGCCATTCAACACGTATATCCCAAACCTCCGATGCCCGCCCCTTCGTCTTCGATCGTATTCCGCTTGGGGGTACAGCTTTCGCGCCTGTAGCGTATATTTCGTGCAGTCCCTAAGGCAGGGGAAGAGAGGACGGATGGAAGAAAGGGACACATGGGGGAGGGAGGAGGATGGAGCACGAGGGAGAGTAGCAGGAGGGGGGGCAGGAGCAGGAAACAAGTGGCAGAGCCAGACGGGCAGATCGGGCGGGTAGGCCCGAACGGGCGGGTCGGGAAGGCGAACCCAGGCGGCCAGGTCGAGCAGGCGGGTTGCTGAAGCGCAATTTCTGCATGAATCGCAAGGAAGTCTCAGGAGATAGCGCGATTCCCATGTCAAACGCGAGGATATCCACAACGAGAGCGTAACTCCTGAGCGTCGAGCGCGCGGCGTTTGAATACAATGTAAGGGTATCCGCCGCGAGAGCGCGATTCTGGTACAAGTTTTGGAGAGGTCCCACACGAGAGTGCGATTTGGGAATGCATTGTGCGTGCGTGTCAGGCGGGAACCGCTGTTGCTGTAGTTCGGGCCCAAAATCGCAGTTTGGTGACCCCTCGCTTTACCTTGTAAAGAACAGGGCGCGAACCCCAGGATAAACACTTTACTGGAAAACATAGAATGGCTAGGCAGGGGGACCAACTATACTTATTAGTTGGACATGATATGTCGACAACAACAACACGCATCAGTTCAAGAGTATTCGCTATTATCTGATCGCGTGCCACTCAACATGTATATCCTAGACCCCCGATGCCCGCCCTCCTCGACTTCGATCGTGCCCCGCTTGGGGGTCCATTCTTTCGAACCTGCAACGTGTAGTTCGCGCAGCCCCTGAGGCAGGGGAAAAGAGGACGGATGGAAGGACGGGACAACGGGGAGGGAGGAGGACGGAGCACGAGAGAAAGGAGCAAGAGGGGTACAACAACAAAAAACAAGTGGCAGAACGAGACGGGCAGATCGGGCGGGTACACCCTAACAGGCGGGTCGGAAGGAGGGCCCAGGCGGCCAGGTCGAACAGGCGGGTTGCTGAAGCGTGCGTCTTGCTTGACTCATGGGGGAGTCTCCAGAATTGGGAGGACGTCCCGCGCGAGCGAGATTGTTGCGTACAGTGTGAAGAAGTCCCGCACGACGGCGCGATTTGGGGTCCATCTGCCCAGGCCTTGCTTCTAAGTCCGCCGATCAGGCGTGTGAGTTTGAAAGTCTCAGCCACAGCCTACAGCCTAGAGCCTGAGCTTCAGCTCTGCTGGAGCGCCTCGAGGGGGCCAGGGAAACTGTGCCGGGGAAGGGCGGGGGGACGAGTTGTGGTCCGCTTTCCGGAGGGGTCTTTTCCGGGCCCACGAGGGCCCCAAGACAGGCCAAGAGGGCCCCAAGACCCCCCAAGACGGCCCCAGAAGCCCCCAGAACGCCCAAAGAGAGCTCCAAGACGCCGAAGATGACCTCCAGACGGCTCAAGAGGCCGCCGAGATGCTCCAAAAAGCCTCCAAGCGCCCTCAGCAGAGGACCCTTCGAGGCCCAAAACATAAATTGTACAATGGTTTTGGAAGGATTCTGGCCTTCCCGCCTTTTCGGCTTCCCGACGCTCCAAGACGGCCCCAGAGGCCCCCAAGATCGCCACACGAGGGCCAAAAGGTTCTCAAAATGGCCCCAAGACGGCCCAAGAGAGCCCCAAGACTGCCCAAGAAACTCCCAAAACGGCCCCAGAGGCTCTCAAGACGGCGCCGAAAGGGAAGCCAGACGGGGAACCCGAACGGACATTTCGAGCCCTCGGCCTCCAGAAACTCCCAAGAGACCCCAAGAGGCCCTCAAAAGGCCCCAAAGAGGACCCCAAGTGTTCCCAAGAGGCCCGCCAAAGGCCCTCAGCAGGACCCAAGAGGCCCAGAAGAGGCCCCCGTTCGCCGTCAGTTGTCGTCGTCGACGTCGTCGGCGGTCTGCAGCCGTTCGCCGTTTGTCGTCGCCGTCGTCGACGTGGTCGTCGTCGTCGTCATCGTCGTCGTCAACCGTCGTCGTCAACCCGTTCGTCGGTCGTCGTCGTAATGATCCCACTCGTCGACCGTCGGTCGTCCGTTGTCGTCGTCATCGTCCATCCCAACAACAGCATCAAAAAAGCGCCCCGGATTGGCGGCACTTGCCGGAGGCCACTGTAATATCACGACGCCAGAGTGGCCTAAGATATCAGGGAGAAGCATCGCAAACTCTGGAAGAGTCCCATGGAAGGACCCCGGAGCTCCTTTGAGAAACTTCACAAGTTAGGCCCCTAGGCTTTCGTCCCCTTCCTGGACCGCTTTTGCGTCGGCCGCTTCCTGATGGCGCCGGGGCTCGTCGTCGTCGTCGTCGTCTTCGTCGCCGCCGCTGCCGCCGTCGTCACCGTCGTCGTCGCCGTCGTCGTCGTCGTCGTCCTCCTCCTTCTTTTCCTCTCCTCCTTTTCCTCCTGTTCCTCCTTTTCCTCATTTTCCTTCTTCTCCTCCCCCTCCTCCTCCTTCTCCTCCTTCTCCTCCTGCTCCTCCTCCCTGTTCCACGAAATGTCCCTGGCCACAGGAGTCCCCAGGAGTTCCAGGACGCCCCCGACGGCCTCCACGAGCACCGCGACGACGACGATGACGATGACGACGACGACGACGACGACGACGACGACGACGGCGGCGGCGGCGGCGGTGGCGACGACGGCGACGACGCCACGCCCCAGGACACCAACGAGAGCGAGGTCGCGCGGAGCAGGCGCGAGAGCGCATTCAGGGTGTCCAACAATAATTACACCAAAGAAATGCCCCAATCAATGATGGTTTGATAAGAACTGGTATGGATATTGACATCCATTTTGAGATCGATCGTGTGGAATCGATAGCGTGGACGATTGTAAGGTCGACCGTGAGACCGATAGTGAAATCGATGCAACGAAATCGATCGTGATATCGATCAGGAGATCGTGCGTGCGATCTAGAATGGAATCGACTATGAAATCTAGTGATGGTATCGATTATTGGATCGATCGCGAGATCGCTAGAAAAGGTGGGTTATGAGATCGATGGTGAAACCGATCGATAAAAAGATCAAACAAAACCCGGGAAACCGGGAACGTCGCCGCCCATCGAAATCGGCCGGGAACCCAGAAACGGGAGTCTGGGAGCCTGGAACATGGAACCCGGGAATCTGGCCGCCTACCGAAATCGGCCCGACACTTTCGCCAAATCTTACAATCTCCGCTAGAACCCCTTCAGTGCAAGCGCGACAACGACGACAGCGATGATGACGACGACGACGACGACAACAACGGCGGCGGCGACGACGGCGACGACGCCGTTATCATCGTTGTCGTCGCTAAACAATTATTTTTCTTGGACACCTTTACTAAGAACTGTTGGACACAGGGTGTCCAACAGTAAGAACTGTTTGATGATTACGGTTCAACAAAGATTAAGGAAACCTCAAGAACTCCTGGAAATCTTGAGTATAACCGGAGGAAGTATCGAGCGGGAGCGTCGTCGTTTGTAGGGGGTCCTGAGGCGGGAGCGCTGGACCTGAGGTGAAAATCAAGGCTCAGGAAAAACTCAATCGGGTAACACCTAAACGGGGTAACAAACCCACTACAAGATCCAAACGGAGAAACTGCAACGGCCGGAAAAAAACAAACTGCACGGCAGTTTTTCTGCAACGCGAGCTGCACTGCACTTGTTCTGCAACTAGTTGCGGAACAACTGCGAACAAACCCCACATACTGGGCAACAGCGGCCCAAAACAAAAAGCTGCGGTGCAGCAGCCGAACATTTGCAACGCACGCAATCTGTGGCAGGTGCTGCATTGCATGCGAAAGCAAACAAAATATGCACTGCAACAGGGTGCGCAGTTGTTGCCTCGAACCAGCCATTTCCTGTCATGAAGGGGCCCCGGGACACACAAATAAATACACACAAATAAAAATATTCCCCATATTTTCTGGGTTTTTGTCATCCAACCCACTTCCCATATTTTCCTATATTTTCCTGGGAATCGACGATTCATTGTGTCTGTGTGTTTTTTCCCCTCCTGATGTTATCCCGACCCTGCTTCCCCGAACGGCGTATCGAGCGGGAGCGCCGGTATTGTTGGGAAGGCGGCCGTGGGGGGGGCGAGCAAGAGCCCCCGAGAGAAGAAGGGGGAAGCATCGAGCCCGAACGTTGCTGTTGGGGGGCAGTTTTGGCGGAATCCCGAACTGCGCGCGAGCCGAATTTCCCAACGGAAATGCAGCCGGCGCCCGGGCGAGAGCGCGAAAACGCAGTCAGGGTGTTCAGCAACGACAACAAAGACAACAACAACAACAACAACAACAACAACAACAACAACAACAACAACAACAACAACAACATCAACAATCGTTTTAGGGCTGTTCGCTGTTACTGGCACGCGTGTTTTGCATTATGTATACCCCAACCCTACAATGATATATATATATATATATACACACAAGTGGCACGTGTGTGCCCAGGCTCATACAAAAAACTGAAGGGGCGTTTGAAGCAGGAGTGAAATGCAACATCGAAGTCGCACTCGAGCGCAAGTGGGGTTGCCACACCTTGCGATGTGTGTACCAGGACCCCCCAGGAAGCCTCAGGAGGCCCGACTTGGATACCAGAAGAGGCTCCAGGAGGCCCCAGGATTGTGAGTGTTGTGCGTGTGTGTGTGATGTATGCGTTGTGTGGTGCGTGCTTTTTGTGTGTGTTGTAGGTGTTGTGTGTGTGTGTTATGTTTGTCTAGCGTGTGATGTGTTGGGCGTGATTTGTGTCTCTGCGTGCATGTAGTTCTGAAGCCCCAGGAGGCCCCAGGAAGCCCCAGGCGGCCTCAGGCGGCCCCAGGAGACCCCAGGAGGCTTCAGGAGGCCCCAAGAGGCTCCAGGAGGCCGCAGGAGGCCCCAGGAGGCCCCAGGAGGTTTCAGGAGACCCCCAGGAGGCTCCGAGGCGGGGTCTGGGGTGCCAGAAGGTTCAGAAAGCCCCAGGAGGCCCCAGGAGGTTCCAGGAGGCCCCCAGGAGGCTCCGAGGCGGGGTCTGGGGCTCGATTTTGGAAGGATTTTTCAAGCGAAACCGCCATTCCCTGAGAATCGGGGTCACAATTATTGAAATTACCATGTGTTTTTGAAGGTGTTATGTTAACATGTTGAAGTTCCCATGTGTTTTTGGACCCTGACGTCACGATCTGCGTGAGGGGTGCCACCGAATTTCAGAAGTTCGAGGATGTCCCGAGCGAAACGCCCAGAAAAATCGCGGACGCGTGCGCATTAATCGCCTCTGAGCTCTACTCCCTCGGAGAGGTGCGTATGAGAATATATATATATATATATACATATATATATATATATATATATATATACTATATATATACTATATATATATAGACCCCAACAAGGGGACGATCGAAAACGAAGAAGGCGGATATCGAGGGTTTGGGAAATACACGTTGAATGACAATCGAGCAGATAAGAGCGAACAGTGTTCACATGATTGATGATGTTACCATTATTTCTCTGAACTCTCACTAATGACAAATAATTATTGTTGATCCCCCACTGGTGACCATTGTGTTGTTTCAATAAAAATGTTCCCCTGGGGCTCGCACCCTGTCTTTTATCTGAGAGAATCAAAAAGGCCAAACTGCGCCCCTGGCCCCTGGGTTACAACAAGAACGGGTTCCGCTTGAGACTTCCTCACAATTCATTATATATATATATATGAAACACGCACTCTCGCGCGGGACTTCCTCACAATTTATACAGGAATCGCGCCCTCGCGTGGGACTTCATCGCAAATTGATCAGACGCCGCGCCCACGACACCCAAGAATCACGCTCTCGCTGTAAATTTCCTCACGATTTACATGGAACTTGCGCCATCGTCCGAGACGCTCTTGCGATTCATGCAAGACTCACGCTTCAGCAACCCGCCTGCTCGACCTGGCCGCATGGGCCCGCCTTCCTGGCCCGCCCTTTTGGGCCCCCCCTCCTGCTACTCCCTTTCTTGCTCCATCCTCCTCCCTCCCCCTTGTCTGCTCCTTCCATCCGTCTTCCCTTCCCCTGCCGTCGGAGCTGCATGAAATACACGTTACAGGTAAGAAAGATATACACCCAGGGGGGTACGCTCGAAGATGAAGAGGGCGGGTATCGAGGGCTTGGGATATAAGTGTTGCAGGACACGCGAGCACATAACAGCAAACACTATTAAGATGATTGTGGTTGTTGAGGACTCATTTCTAAAAAATAATTATTAATGATCTCCGGAAACCCGCGCGCTCTCGCCTCGACGCCGGCTACATTTTCTCTGAAAACGAGGCTCCCGCTCGAGCGTTGGCTTGACCCGAAATGTGCGCCCTTGGGGGCCCAGCTACGACAACAACGGCTCCCGTTCGATACTTCCTTACAATTTACCACGAGACACCCTGGCCAGAGAGGCCCCCGAACCTCAGGAACGGCGCTCTCGCTCGAGACTTCCTCGCAAGTCAAGCAAGTTGGCGGATGCCCAGCCACGACGGCAAGGGCTCCTGCTCGATACTTCCTCACGATTTACTCCGAGAGCCCCTGGCCAAGAAGGCCCCCGAACTCAGGAACGGCGCTCTCGCTCGAGACTTCCTCGCGATTCATGCAGGACCCACGCTTCAACAACCCGCCTGCTCGACCTCGTCGCCTGGGCGCGCCTTCCCGACCTGCCCGCTATGGGTCTGCCTACCCGATCTGCCCGTCTGGTTCTACCACTTGTGTTCTGCTCCTTGCCCCCCTCCTGCTACTTTCTGTCGTGCTCCAATACTCTGCCTCCCGCTTCCGCCTGTCCTCTCTTCCTTTGTTTTAGGGGCTGCACTAAATACGCGTGGCAGGTAAGGAAGATATGCCCCCAAGGGGGTACGATCGAAGACGACGAGGGCGGGTACCGAGGGTTTGGGATATACGTATTGATTGGCACGTGAGCAGATAGGAACGAACAGACTTAAAATTATTGTTGTTGCTGTTGCTGTTGCTGCTGCTGCTGCTGCTGCTGCTGTTGTTGTTGTTGTACTTGTTGTTGTTGTTGTTGTTGTTGTTGTTGTTGTTGTTGTTGTTGTTGTTGCGTGTTGTCGTCGTGCCCCCCGCGACCCTCTCTGCGACTCACCCGCGAGCCACCCACGTTGCTTCCACAAAAAACTGGCACCTGCGGCCGGCCCGTTGCGCAAGGCTCAAGGTGGAACAACAAAAAGTCGGCGCCTGCGGCGGGCTTTCATCAGAGCCTCGCAGACTGCCAACGACACCGCCGCCCCCTCACTCGTATCGGCCATTGCGTGGGGCTACGTTAGGAAGCAACTCGCGGAAGCTTCGGGGGCGTTCCCATGGTGCCCACTTCACGTGGCGCTCTTGGGCGCTATCGGTGGCGGGCGGGCGCTTTCTGAATGCCATGTTCAGTGCTACTGCTCGCTGTCCGGCGCTTCGGAACGCTGTTGGGGCGCAGCTCGCCGACTCACACTCAACCCCAGGTCGAGCGGAAACTCCAGACATTTCCCATCTGCCTCAGCCCCCCCCCGGACTCCCAGCGGGCTCCTCCGACCCCCAGCCGGCTCCAGGCCACGAGCCCTCTTTCTCCTCCCCTCTTGGGCGCCCGAGTCATCCGGGGTAACTCGGGTCCGGGGTAACTCGGGTTCGGAATCCCGACGAAACCAACCCGAGTTAGCCCTGACCCGAGTTACCCCTGATGATTCGGGGCTCTGGACGCCCGAATTATCCGGGGTAACTCGGGCCCGGGGTAACTCGGGTTCGGAATCCCGAAAAGCGAACCCGAGTTAGCCCTGACCCGAGCTGCCCCTGATGATTCGGGGCTCTTGACGCCCGAATTATCCGGGGTAACTCGGGTCCGGGGTAAGTCGGGTTCGGAATCCCGACGAAACCAACCCGAGTTAGCCCTGACCCGAGCTGCCCCCGATGATTCGGGGCTCTGAAGCCCCTGTCTCCTCCCCTCGCCTTCGGCCCGCAGAACCACTTGTGGCAGTTCGAGACGAAGATGTCGCCCGGCGGCCGCCGCAGCGAGACGGGCACGCCGCCCAGGCAGTGCGCCCCGTCCACCACGACCAGGGCGTTCGGGGAGCGCCGCCGGCATACGGCCACGGCCTCTTCCAGCGGCAGCACCAACGGCGCGTTGGACGGCACCTGTGGATGACCCTGAGAGCGCGTGTTACATTCGAGGCGTTGACCTAAGGAACCCTAAATAAGGAACGAGGCCCCTTTTTTCATGAGTTAACCTTCGACTTCCCATCGAAAGCTTCAGAGAAACCTTGGGCAACGTGTGGAACAATTGAGGAACACCGAGCCCCTCCCCAACGAAAAAGGTTCCTTCTTCAGCGCCCCGACTGTAGCGCCACCGTGTGCTGGTCCGCCGAAGCCTTTCAACAAGACGCGGGTGGTGCCACCATGGCCGCCACAGGCCGAACGGGGTAGGCACACACTGGGCCAACACGCGCCCTGCGGATCGTCGAACCCGGGGGAACCAACAGATGCCGATACCGCCACCCCATGAACTGGGGCGCATTGCGACCAGAATCTCGATGGGGAACTAGAGGCCTAAGCATCGCGCCGCATCGCCAATGCATCGCCGATGTATCGGCGATGCATCGGCGACGTCGACGATGCATCGGCGACGACGGCGTGGGGAAACACGGGCTCCACATCGAGCCGCATCGTTGACGTATCGGCGATGCGGCGCGACCTTTCGACCCCATCTACTCGGACCCCATCTGGGAGGACCAGAAGAACCCAGATCTGGCGACGACGGCCTTCGAGGATGGGCAGCGGCATCCGCACCCCTCCCTCCTCGTGAGCACCGCGTCCAGCAGCACGAGCGAGGTGTCCGCCCGCAGCGCCCCCTCCAGCGATCGCAGCACCGACCCAGCGCACTTCAAAGGGAAATCCACGGCCGCCTCCATGGGGAAACAACAAAAAAACAGATACCGACACCGCTAGGTTCGCGCGGCGTCGGCACGCGCAAAGATTTTTGAGACCGCATCGATCGTTCAACCTTGAATCGATCGCGGCCCCGATTGTTCAAAATTGACTTCCGTTGGGCCCCTCGGTGCTTCCGCGTCACAGACTTCAACCTTGAACGCCTTCGCTGGCGTCGCCAGCGCGCCCACGCCGAGTGAACCTACCCTGCGATACCGCTAACTCCCCGGACCGCTCCCAGGATGCGCTCTGACCAAAATCTCGGGGCGAACCCTGCTGCAGCGACGACCTCCCAGACGGCCCCCAAAAAGGCGACAACGGAGGATAGGCAGCGGCATCGGTACCGGTCACATTGAGAAGGCCGAGCGGTCTTGCACCCATCCCTGGGGACGTGGGATTCCGTGGCCCGGCTCGTGCTTGTTTGCTGTTTGTGGTTTGTTCGTTATTTAGGGGGCAAACAAACCTACCTCGCTTTTGACCACCCTCGCTTCCAAGAGATACCAAGCGATGCCAAACTACGGCCCGCACTGGTCAGGCCGCTTGACGAGGCGGCACGTGGTATGACTTGCTTTTGCCTGGAAGCGAAAGCGGGGTAGGTAATCCACGCTCTGATTACTGCGGGATTCTCACGTCTCAACTTTTTAAACTGACATGCCCTTGCTGGGAAAATATTGGGTCTCAGACTTGGGTTGATGGTCCCCGGTTTACAACAACAGCGGCTCCCGCCTGATACGTCCTCACAGCGCATTCCCAAATCGCGCTCTCGCCGCGCGGGACTTCCTCACACTGTATGCAGAAATCGCGCTCTCGCGTGGAACTTCCCCACAATCTATTCAGACTCCGCGCCCTCGACACTCAGGAATCACGCTCTCGCTGTGTATTTCTTCACGATGTTTCAGGAAATCTCGCTGTCGCTCGAAACTTCCTCGCGATTCATGCAAGGCGCACGCTTCAGCAACCCGCCTGCTCGACCTGGCCGCCCGGGCCCGCCTTCCCGACCCGCCCGTTAGGGTCTACCCGCCCTGCCTGCCCGTTTGGCTCTGCCACGTGTTTTCTGCTCCTAGCCCCCCTCCTGCTACTCTCTCTCGTTCTCCATCGTCCTCCCTCCCCCTTTGTCTCTTCCTTGCATCCGTCCTCTTTTCCCCTGCCTTAGGGACTGCACGAACTACACGTTGCAGGTAGGCAAGATGTATACCCCCAGGGGGGTACAAGACAAAAAAGGCGGGTGTCGAGGGATTGGGGGTATACGTGTTGAATGGCACGCGAGAAGAAAAGAAGAACAGCTTTAAAATTATGGTTGAAACTGTTGCTGGTGTTGTCGAGGTTGCTGCTATTGTTGTTGTTGTTGCTGGTAAAATTATGGTTGTTGTTGTGTTTGTGTGCTTGTTTGTTTGGTGTTGGTGGCTGCTGTTGTTGTTGTTGGTGTTGTTGTTGTTGGCTGTTGTTGTTGGTGGTGGTTGCCCACTTCTTCATAACTTCTTCATAATAGTTGTTATCGATCCCCCGGTAACCATTGCACTGTTCAATTGCAATGCTTCTCCCGGAGCTCGCTCCGTTTTTTTTTTTTTTTTTTTTTTTTTTTTTTTTTTTTTTTTTTACCAAGGGAGAACGAAGTGCCACCAAACTGTGCCCCTGGCCCCCGGCTTACAACAACAACAAAGGCAACAACAACAATCATAGTATGACTGTTCGTTGTTACTGGCACGCGCGTCTTGCATTCTGTCTACCCCACCCCGACCCTCGATACCCACCCACTTCGTCTTCGATCGCACCCCCTTTCGGGGGAAATCCCTTCCTTGTCTGCCATTGACTGAAGTGCGAGGCGAGATAGTCTCGATCGAGACCGCCGTTCCTAAATTCGGGGGCCTCTCTGGCCAGTGGCTCTCGGAACACATACTGAGAAATATCGAAGGGGAACCCTTGTCGCCGTGTCTGGGCTTCCACCAACTTGCGCGAATTACGAACAAGTCGTGAACGAGAGCGCCACAGTTGAGTTCGGGGGGCTCTCTGGCCAGGGCCTCTGGGAATACACCTTGTTCACAAAAGTGACGAGCGAGAGCCCTTGTCGTCGTAGATGGGCCTTCGCCCATGTGACTGAACCGCAAGGAAATCTCGAACGAGAGCACCGTTCCTGAGTTTTGGGGCCTTCCTGGCCTGAGGCTCTCGGAGTCACTTGTGAAGCAGTATCAAGCAGGAGCCCTTGTCGTCGTGGCTGGGCCTCCGCCAGCTTGATTGAATTGCGAGAAAGTCTCGAGCGAGAGCGCCGTTCCTGAGTTCGGGGGCCTCTCTGGCCCAGGTGTTTCGGGGTGAATTGTCAGGGAAGATCGAGCGGGACCCGTTGTCGTTGTAGACGGGCTTCCCACTGCATACATTTACACTCAAGCCCGCGCTCGAGCGGGAACCTCTTTTTCAGAGGAATTGCAGCCAGCGTCGAGGCGAGAGCGCGCGGAACCGTTTCCAGATATCAGCAATAGTTATCCTCTAGAAGTGGATATTCAATGGCCCCCGCGCGATACCTCCACACAATGTATTCCCAGATCGCGCTCTCGCGCAGGACATCCGCACACTGTATGCAAAGATCGCGCTCTCGCGTGGCACTTCTTCGCGATTGATTCAGACGCCACTCCCTCGACACTCAGGAGCCACGCTCTCGCTGTGGATTTCCATATTATTCACTTGGGAATTCCTCGCTATCGCTCGAGACATCCTTGCGATTCATGCAGGACGCACATTTCAGCCATCCGCTTGCTTGACCTGACCGCCTGGGCCCACCTTCTCGACCCGCCCGTTAAGGTCTATCCGCCCGATCAGCCCGTCTGGTTCTGCCACGTGTTTTCTGCTCCTAGCCCCCCTCCTGCTACTCTCTCTCGTTCTCCATCGTCCTCCCTCCCCCTTTGTCTCTTCCTTTCATCCGTCCTCTTTTCCCCTGAAGGGTGTGCGATCGCAGACGAAGAGGGCGAGTGTCGAGGTTTTGGGAGATACGTATCGGATGGCCCGCGAGCAGATAAGAACAAACAACAGTAAACTTGCTGTTGTTGTCGTCGTCGCTGTTTTTGCTATTGTTGTGTTTGTTGTTGTTGTCGTCGTTATTGTTGTTGTTGTTGTTGTTGTTGTTGTTGTTGTTGTTGTTGTTGTTGTTGTTGTTGTTGTTGTTACTGTTGTTGTTGTTGTCGTTGTAAGTGCAATTATTGTTGTTGCTGCTGTTGTTGTTGGTGTTGCTGTGGTTGCCGTTTCTGTTGTTGTTGTTGTTGTGGTTGTTGTTGCCGTCGTCCCCCCCGCAACCCACCCGCGATCCACCCGCGATCCACCCGCGACCCACCCGGCGACCCACCCGGCGACTCACCCGTACCGCTTCCTCCTCTGGGCCTCGTCGACCTGCAGGCCCGTCTCCGCGGCCAGCCTCCCCAGCAGCTTCTTGTTGGAGCCGTAAGACACCGAGAGGCAGGCGGCGCGGTGCCCTGGCCCGGGCGAGAAGCGGCGCTGCCAGGACCGCAACACGGTATTGAGCGCGGCGGTGGCGCTCGGCACGGGCGGGGGGGAGCGAGAGGGGCACGACGAAGCCAAGACGGGGACAAGATCGGACCAGGAAACCTCTCCATGTGGCAGCTCATGGGAGCATCCCATGTCACCTTGCTGGCTCTTGCGAATCGACGCTGACCGGCGCTCATCGGTGCTCGTCGACACTAACTCGACGCTCCTGGACACAACATCTGCACTCTCTCGTCGACTATAGAGCGCTAGCGCGCGCTAATGCACTCTAGACACATATTTTCGATGGCAAAAAAGGGTCCCAAGAGTTGCTACCGAAGCGATTGCATCTTGCACCGCCGGCCGCTCCAGAGAGCTCGGGAGATCACTCCGAGAGCGCCCCGGGGACGCTCTGGAACGATCCGTCCTGTATTCTGCCATGGTCCTGGCCCCCGGCCGGAGATAGGGCTGGGCCGGCTGGGGGGGCGGGACGCCTATGAGTACCGTTTATCCGATCCCCATCCCCAGCGGCGTGGCCTGGGCCCCGCTGGCCGATTTACCCCCCTATAGATGGGGATGTAGGCCGCTCCCTTCGGGTTTCGAGGGGTGTATCCCCAACTGGGGGGGGGGTGATCTGGTGGGGGTCTCGAAGGTGATGGGGATGGGGATGGGGGTCGGAACGATACTGCGCCCCGACGGAATCGGCGATGCACAGCTCGCTGACAGGTCGGCGGCAGACCCCTGCGACAGGGAGGCTGCGCGCCTGTCACGGGCGGAGGCTGCGCGCTCCCCAGGGGCCCCGATCGGCGAGGAGCGCACGCCTGGTGGCCGCTGCGCCCCCCCCCCGCCCCCTGGGCCTACAGTCGGGGCCTTGACCTAAGGAACCCAAAATGAGGAACGCGGCCCCTTTTCTCCATAAGTGAAACTTCGATTTCCGATCGAAAACACAAGGAAAACCTGAGGCAAGCTGCGAAACACTTCTTAAGGAACGCGGAGCCCCTCCCCAACCAAAAGGGTTCCTTCTTCAGGGCCCCGACTGTAATTACCCTGGGGGGGCGAGGCGGGGTGGACACCGCCGCTCCCCCCCTTGGACCTCTCCTCCGGGGCGCATCCCGACCGGGATCTCGAATAGACTCCAGCCGTGGCGGCGAGGGCTCCCCAGGACGAGCAGTGGCATCGCTCCGTGGCCGGGCCGGGCAGCGGCACCGCCTGCCCCGCCAGGACGCCGGTGCAGCACCCCTCTCGCTGCCCCCGGCATGGGCATCAGCTCCTGCGGCTCGCACTCCAGAAGCTCGGCCAGGCCCCTCGAGACGTGCACCAGGTGCGGGAAGAGCTCGCGGTCCAGGAAGCGCACGGGCTGCGCCTCTGGGGAAACAGAGCGAGAAACCGATACCGCTACCCGTCGGTCGGAAGAAGTGGGTAGAAGCATGAAGCACGAAGGCGTTGAAGGTAGATTGGGCTTCCGCCCGCCCCCTGAGGACGAAGACAGAGGGAATACCGCTCCACTCTTCGAGTGGGAATGCGCCTGAAGCAAATCAGGCCTCGGGCATCCCAAAATGCATACCTTCAACGACCAGAGCGTGTCCTCCCCGGACTTCTCCCGGGGCGTTTTCCGAGCAGGTTGTCGAGGCGCATCTGGCAGTGGCGACGAGGGCCTCTCAGGAGGAGGAGGAGGAGGAGGAGGAGGAGGAGGAGGAGGAGGAGGAGGACGGGGCAAGGGGCGAGGGTGGCGGCATCGCTGCACCCCCTCCATCCGCTGCGCCTCGATGTGCTCCGTCCACCGCCGCTTGCTCTCCGCGGCCCCCCTCAGCGTGGCGCCGAAGGCGCCGTGGTTCAGGAACGTGAACCCGTCCTCCAGCAGGAAGTGCCCGCGAGCCTCGGGCCCAAAGCGGGCACCGTGGCGTCATCGGCGGCGCACCCGAGGGGGGGAGGTGGCAGGGGGCAAGACATTCTCGGAGAACAGCGGGGCTCCTCAGAGTAGGGAGCAGACCATCCACCCTCATAACCAGCACCCCGACAAGCGAAGCCGTGCAGGAAGCGAGCCCAAGGACAAGGAATCGAACAGAGCAGGGGTGTTTAGGAAATGCCCAGTGCCGTTCAGTACATGCCAAATGATCGGGTCTCGGGGTGGTTGTTCCTCCCTTCACAGGAGTCCTCCTGAACCATCTCCTCTGTTCGGCGGCGAGAGGGGGGGAAATGAGACGGAGAAAACCCTTTCAGAAGGCGGCGGGGCTACTCAGAAGGCCTCTGGCCTTCTCCGAGGTTTGCCATGTCGTCGTCAGGGAAGGCTTGTAACACTTCTCAGACGGCCGCGGGGCCCCCGAGCCCTCTGAGCAGGCCCGCCCTGCTCACTTCCCCCCCCGGGCTCGCCGCCGATCTGTGGCATCAGAGAGGGCTTTGATAAAGGGAAATTAGGACACACAAATAAATGCACACAAATAAAAATAGTCCCCATATTTTCCCATATTTTCTGGGTTTTTGTCTTCCCCCCCAATTCCCATATTTTCCCATATTTTCCTGGGGATCGAAGATTAATTGTGTCTGTGTGGTTTTTTCCCTCCTGATTTGAAGCAGCTTGCCCATGGCACGAGGCCGGCAGGCTCTCGATGCGTGCACCGCGCCGCGTGGTCGGCCACGGAGCTCGGCGCATGGGGTCCCCAGCTGCCCACGGCAGTGAACGCTGGAGCGTCTGTACGCACCCACAGTGTATTCGCCGAACTCCTGGGCTCTGAAGTAACCAGCCTCGAACTTATCCCCTATCCCTGAGACGGGCGAGCAAGAAGCGAGGACCATCTCAGGGATAGGCCCTCAGAAGCTGAGGGAATCCTTGAGATCGGCATCGAGGTGAGGTGATGCCAAACATAGCGATAGGGATATGTTTCAAACTGGCAACGAGGGGCAATGCTACAAGGGGGGGGGGACTGGCTCCGGGAGGGAAGCCTCGACCTGGTTTGGGCGACGCGTCGCCGACGCATCGACGATCGGCCCCCGATAGCGAGTCCGCACGTTCCCGAGCGGGGTGGTGGGCGATTTGGGGTCTCTATCCGCCCTGAGCCTAATCCCCCCCCTGTCGTTACCCCTGAGGCTTCCTGGAAGACCACACGACGCGGTGGATAACCTCATCGAGCCATTAAGGACCCCCCCGGGATTATCATTAGCACCGCACCGTAATTCAGTGATTCTGGTGGGCGGTTTTCGCCGAACGATCTGATTGGCCCCGCGCAAATGGAACGAACATAATTAATTCCCGCGCCCTGGCTCGGGTGGTATCCCAATTGGAATTGGTATACTAATAAGAATAAGAAAGAAATACGAGTAATACGGATAGTAATAATTAAACTACAAATGATAATGGTGCTAAGGGTAAGAGTAAGAATCACACTAATCATAATAAGAGTAAGCATTAGTTATCATAAGGGTAATAATAATAATGCCACAAATGATATAATAATGAAAATGAACCAACAAAACACAGAGTTTTGTCTCATTATCTTCATCGTCCTTGTCCTATACGAGTTGTATTACCACCCCTTGTGAACAATTGTTATTCCCCGCCGTTGTGTGGGGGGTAGTGACCGAGGATATCGCCCCCGCCACGCACGACGCGTTATCTTAGCACCGCACCCGCACAACAACATTACGACAGCTTGTCCAAAAAGACAAGAAGTACAGTAAGACCAATAATAATAGCAATAACCATATCATACTAAGACTCATATTAATAATAATAAAACATACTACGAATAAGAGTAAGGAACGTAGTATTAATAATAAGAAAAATCCAAAAACAGACGGGCTCCCCTGCTTCGTTCCTCTCTCCCCTCTTTTTCCCCTTTTCTTCATCATCCTTGTCCGATACGATTCGTATTACCACCCCTATTGAAACATTGCTTTTTCCGGGCCGTCGTGCGGGGTAGTGCATCCGAGGATATCGCCCCCGCCACGCACGGCGCGTTATCTTACCACCCGCACCGCCAAAATTATTCGCCCCCCATCGTAGGCACGGACGGTTCTTTTCAAAGCTGGGCTCTCCCTTGCTGGGGCGCCCCTGCTCGGAAGGCCGAGCGCTGGGCAGACGCGCGGACACTCCAGTTCTCGCCCAGACAGACCACCTGACGCAGACTGGTCTGAGTCCAGAGCAGTTTCTGAGGATGTCTCAGGCGAGGCGCTTGTTTCAGAACCACAGGGAGGCCATGTTGCGAGAATGTCTCGGGCGGGGTTTGCTTGTTTCGGCGAGCAGACTCGCCTGCGTTCACATCAGAGGTGCGAGGTGCCAGGGGATCGCTTCTGGGGTGCCGGGTGCGTTATGCTTTCGCATAAGGAGGAGGAGGAGGAGGAGGAGGAGGAGGAGGAGGAGGAGGAGGAGGAGGAGGAGGAGGAGGAAGGAGGAGGAGGAGGAGGAGGAGGAAGAGGAGGAGGAGGAGGAGGAGGAGGAGGGGGATGAGGCTACGTCGAGCCCCTCCAGGGGGCCTCCCGAGCCTCCTGTGACGGCCCGCCGCCTCTTGCCCTCCACCCCCCCCCCGGGGGCGCGCCGCCGACGTCTGGAGCTCGGGGCGCCCGGCGGCGCCAGCGCGAAGGGGCGCGCGGGCTCCTGCTGGCACGCCCGCACTGCGGAGGCCCTCCGGATGGAGTCCGAGCGGGTGGGGCCGCAGGACCGCGCCGCATCGCCGAGGCATCGCCGAGGCACCAGCGATGCATCTCGGCGGCGTCGACGATACATCGGCGATGACGTGGCGGAGAAGGTCGGGCTCCACATCGTGACGCATCGCCGGTGCATCGACCAAGCGGCGCGATCTTCCGAGCCCATCTCTAATCGGACCCCGTCTGGGAGGCCTGGACACACGGGGGCCAGCATCCCGGTGGGATCAAACATATCTTTTGCAGTAACGCTGGCGCTCGCACAGCGCGGGTCGTCCAAAGGCGGGGCGCGCGATGGCGAATCAACACCGGGACAGGGGGCGAGAAGGGGAGCGCGGCCGCGGAGGGAGGG